AAATGAATTTAAAAATATAAATTTTGAACAACTTTGCACATTTCTTGCTTAAATAAAATAATTTTATTTAAAAAATATATGAAAAATATACGGAAAATTTATACATACAAAATAAATAAAAATTCATAGAAAAATGCATAAAAAAAATACATTTGTAAATATATATAAAAATATATGTAAAATAAAAAATGTATTAAGAAAATTAGTATAAAAAATATTTTTCAAAAATTTATAGTATAAATACAAAAATATTTTCAGAAAATACATAAAAACTATATATGAAATAAATAAATTAAGAAACATATACCTCATCTGATAGCAAGAGCAAGAAGTACACTAATTAAAAGACCAAAATATTAATTATATTAATAAAAAAATAATACTCAAGATACACATAAAAATACCACTAAGCATCATGATTAATATTATCAAGAAGATTATAAGGATAATAAATAAAATAAATAAAATAAAATAAAAATAAATAAAAAATAATATAATACTAACAATAATAAAAATACCAAAGCTAAAACTATAAGGAAAATTGTTTTAACCGCCGCCTCGTTTTGTTCAGAACTCAATTTAGTTTTCACAAGTCAGTTCCCATTTTCTTGACTTTATTTGAGTTCATAGTCCTGCTGTTTGCCTGTGCTTCAAGTTGAAAACGGCGCTAATTTTATGACAGCTCCAACTTTGGCACTCGTCAAATGTAAAATACACCAAAGGGGCCAAAAAATATATAAAAAACGAAGAAAGTAGTAAAGAAGAAAAACGTCAAGTAAACTTTGGGCCATCTTGCGCTGTGGGCCATGTGACTTTTTATGCTAATGTGTGGCAGAGAACTGCGGCAAGTTGCGCTTGCGGTCTTCAAGCAAACACGAACATCTTTTTTCTGGCGGCTGTACTGTCAACGCTGGCTGTGTTAATTACTGCGGCGAGCGCATGAATCATGACTTCCGGATTGCCACAGCCGTTTTCCAATTATGATGCAACAAATAAAAATTCAGCAAAAGTGTTGTGGCAAGGCTGGGGCCCTTCAAATTAAACTGTAAATAGTTTAAGGCCGTCTAAAGGGTAGGCAAGAGGGGATGGGCAGCAGCAGCAACAAAGCCTACGCTCAACACTTGCTAATGTGATGATGGAGCTCTGGTTCTTAACACTTGTGCTCGGATGTGGCAACGTTGAGTTTTTAGTCATGTGGCGACTGCGGTTAACCGACAATTTGTGCAGAGTTCCTGAAATTGCCTCGACTCTAGCTTATTTGCTTAGCAGAGAATTGCTGTTAATTCATTTGGATTAGATGCAAATAGAGCTTAAGACGAACCACCATAAATACTTTATATTTAAATTGAAATATGGCCAGAGATGCTTAAGTGTATTGAGCAGAATTCCAAAGTAAAAACTTAAATACACAAACCGCATTTAAAACGTTTATTGTAATAGTTGTATTTAGCTTTTGGCTTTTATTTGTTTCTAAGTTTGGTTTTTCTCTGGTTTTGTTTTTGTTGGTATTTAAATGCAGTGTAATAACAATATGTTTACTTAATGTTAATAAATATATCAAATATATCCTCTACCGTGGCACACGTAAATTAAAATACATATCAAAAAATGTACAGTTACACTACGGTAAAGAGTTGCGACGGGTTGGCAAAACAAGAAAAACAAATTTTCAAATTTTAATTTTTAGTTTTTGTTTTTATTTCACTTACATGATAATAATCTAAGTCTTACTTTAGCTAGTGTTTGATTTAATTTTTATTTGATTTATTTTTGGCAAAAAATTTATTTGATTTTTGCCATCTGACGTGTCAATTTACTTTCTCTTTCTCTTTTCCCCATTTATTATTATTTTATTTGCTCTTCCAGCTAGTTGCATTTATCATAGTTATAATTTTTCATCTTTGCACACATATATGTAGTATTTTTTGGTATTTTTGTATTATTTATTATTATTATTTTAATTTGATTTGAGTTTTTGATTTTGGAATGTTTGATTTGATGCGCTTTAAACAGAAATGGTTGTAAATGCATTTTACCTGCAACTGGTTTTTGGTTGAGTAGTCCTATAAAAAGTTTGTATATTTATGCTATACATATGTCGTATCTATATAGTTGTATTAAAATCAAATCAAAATAATTAACTAGCAACAGTTTATTACGTAAATAGTTTACAATAGTATGTATATATATTCTTTATAAGGTTTATCTCAGTACCATTCAAATGTCTTTTGATATGACTTAAGCAATTTTTCTTTTTGTATGGCAACTATATACGATATATATATATATGTATATAGATATATATACACTATGTATGTATGTGTGTTTGCTTGTGCAAAAGCCTCGACACTATGAACTTTCAAATTAAATTTAATTTATTTATACATTTATATTTAAATAGATGCGGAAGTAATGCAATTGTTGTTGTCGCCTTAAAACTAGTTTTCTCTTCTTCTGCTGTTGCTTCATTCAGACCTTCGTGCCATAAATAATAAATCAAATAAATAAATAAATGCCAAAGAATAGCTTGTCAATTTAGTATTTATTAAATAAACAATTCGCTCGTTTTTATTAATGTCGCCCATTTGCTGTGTTGTTTGTGAGCGAATCAAATCAAAACGATTTCAATTAAAATAAATTTAATTAAAATTTACTGGCCTCACTGCACACTTTCAAAATGCCTTTGCAGAGGGTATGATCGCTTATATGTGAGCTATGTAACGCATAAGCGATGAAGTCTCTGATGCGTTACATCTGTCTTCCATTATCAATCGGATTGTTGAACTATATTATATAGCTGCTGTACGTAGAGCTCTTGCGAGAATTTTGGAATCAATCGGATCTATATTATATATTTAGTATACTCAATAGAGTTATAGTATGAAATCAATCATTTCGCTCTATATAATCGGGTCTGTCGAGTAGATCAGATAGCTTGTATGGCAGCTCTTGTTTATCTTTTGCAATCAGTCTATACTTAGTCTATCTCTATATCTTCAATCGAATCGATCTGTATCTAGCAGATAATTGCTAGAATCAGATAGGTTTTACACTATATATAGCAGAGGCTATATCTAGCAGAGGCTCTTTTGAATCAATCGAATTATTTTACTTTCTCTTATATATAAATATAGTATCAGATCGGTTAACTTTCTCAATTATATAGACATAGTGTTTGGTAGCATGAAAGATAAGCTCTTTATATATATATATCATGATATATATATCCCAAATTAAAAGCTTCAGAGAAGCACTCATGAAATGTCTGCCTTTCCTATCATATCGGACAAGCTTATTTCTATAATAAATATCTGACAAAAATATTTATATATATAATAAAGTCATCCTCCACAAGGGCATTTAGTCTTTGGTTTACCAAAGTGTTTATTTCCTTTTTCGACTACAATTTAAATTATTTTCTTTGCGCTAATTAATTTATTACAATATTTTTACTGAGCCATCGCAATCCAATCCGCTTTTTTTGTTTTCATTTTTTTTTGTTATTATTCTTATTATTACTATTATTTATTTTGCTATGTATTTTTGTGTAATTTAATTATAAACAAATATGCAACAACATATTCTATTAAAGAGCTATATGAACACACCGTTTTTGCTTTTTCTCTGTTTACTTTTTCGCTATTGAGCTCATGTAATGTTATTTATATTTCTTTTTGTTTATTTATTAAAAATATTAATCAGTCATTTGAATGCAATGAATTGCTGTGTGTGTATATTTATATATAGTACGTCGCACACATACACAATAAATAGTGTTTAAGGTTTTCACTTCTTCCCACCCAAGCCCCTAGCTTCTAGGCTCCTAGGCTGTTGGCTGTTAACAGTAATGCAATAATTTATGCCCATTCATTTGCATTGCACTTGCTGACAGGCTAAATAAGAACTTGGCCAACTGATTGCCCAACAGCAATTATTTTCGGCCTAGAGATGAGAGAGCGCGTGCGATGTTTTTAACATAAATGCAAAACTTATGATTTTCGCTAATGATAATGACAATCATAATGAATAATGATAATGATAATAATACAAACTACAATTGGATTTATAATTTTAAACTATATGAATTTATAATAAGAATGAAGAAAAATTATGCTAATGATAATGATAATAGTAATAATTATGATAATGAAAAAATGTTATGATAAAAATAATGCCAATGATGATAAGATAATAACGATTTTTATATAAACAATATAATAATAATGTTAATCATAATGATAATCATAATAGCAATGATACTGATAATGAAACGCTAAATAATCTTTGCTCTTAGCACGCGTACAAACACGACACGCGCTCAGTTCTATCTCTATTGTGATGCCATAAATAATGTTGCCTACTTTTGTGCGCCGCTGACTTCACGCTTTGAGTAAAATTTATTAAAAAATGCTTTTTGCTGTTATTAAAAAAATTATATATATATATATATATATATATATAAATATATATATATATATATATATAATATATGGAATGCTATAATTGATATATTCAATTAAGGAATTTAAGTGCGGATGCAGCTAGAACAAAGAGTTCACTCGGAATTATTTATGTCGTTAATCAAATGAAATTTGACAAGTTCTCAGAAATAATTTTCTAGTATTCTCTGTGTGTGCTCCCTGAATACATAATTTCCATTTCTTAATTCTAAATTTTTTTCTTCTTAATGAGCGCCTTTTATATTTTTTTCTGGGCACTTATTAACTAGGGTTCGCTTAATGCTAAATCTACTTCACTTACTTGTCATAAGGGTGGGCATGCTGCGGATGCTTCTTTATGTCCGGCGAGTGTCGCATTAGAGTCGCATTCTGGCCGTTAACTGGCGAGAGGGTTATGCTGCCTTCGTGACTGCCACCGCTGCCGCCGCCGCCACCGCTGGCCATGCCCAAGCCGCCGCCGGCACAGCCCGCCATCATTTTCTCCGTCTCCTGGCGACTATTCGCCATTATGCGTCGTATAGTGGGCGCGCAGGGTGTGCGTCAGAGACGCGACTCCTGCACGTGCTCATGTCAAACCTGACCATGTGCGTTCATGTGGAGCGCCTCGCCGGCATCGGAGGGCGCCCCCGATAGCTGGGCAGGTGGATAGTACTGCAAAGAAGTGCAATTGAGATACTGTGCGTCGGTTAGACATTATCGCTGACCACATAATTAAGCACATAAAACAACCCCAAACCACAGAAGTTAAAAGTGATAGAGATGGTGAGTGGGCAGATACCCTGTAAATACTTGGGAATTGCTGTAAAATATTTGCGTGTTGCTGTCTATATACTAAACGATAATTATCGATTATTGTTGATTAGGGTACTGTATACAACAATTTGTTAGATGGATTGATCATTTCATACAGACCTAGCTTGGTTTAATTTAGACTTTTAATATCTTAAGATAACAAAAACTTTAGATCGATATTCATCGATAACATAGGAAGATAGTTATTCATTAGTATACTGTACTTTATATATATATATATATATATTGTATATATATATATTCTATTTCAACTGAAATGATCATTACAGATCGATTCAGTCCATTCATTTTTTACAGTAACAAAAATTTCAGATCGATATTTATCGATAGTATATGATAAGTCTATGCAATAATATATTTTGAAACAATTTGATTCCACACAAACAAATCAGGCTCGTCACAACTACAATCAACCTTTAACAACTACAGGGTGCATAGAGAAAATAAACACATTGTAATATCCACTCACCCCGACGCGTCCATTGTCGTAGTCGCGACTCGCCTGAATGGTCAATTTGGCCTTGGCATGCATTGTGTCGGTCAGGGTGTTCCTTTGATGTGTGGATGCCACGCCCACGCCGGGTACAGCGTTCGCCGGTCGCAATAACATGGAGCCGTTGCTCTTGGCCGCACTGCCACCAGCGCCCCCAAGATTGCCGGCCGCACTGTTTGCCTTGTTGCGAAAGCAATACTCAATAATTGCGACGAATACGGCGAAAAGCAGGCCACCAATGAGTATATAGAATATGCCAGCGACATTGCTCAGCGAGAGCTCATTGTGCGATGTGTCCTGATTGTCCTTGTTGGGATTACATTCTGTTTTATCGTACCACCATTTGTTGCGCAGCTTAATCAGCTCTCCATTCTCCTTGAGCGACAGCACAGCCAAATTGATGGGATCTCTGCAAATAGGTAGCGATGATTTTTCTTCCTCTTTTTTTTTCATCACGGTTAGCTCGAATGTCATGTCTAATAAAGTCTGGCAACTTTATGCATCCCAATTCACCATTTATACATATACTTATGCTTACTTGAGTGCTGAGCCAAGCGGCGTGGCAATGCCAAATCCCTTTGTATCCATGTTGGGGCCCACTTTCATTGTGTCGCATGGCTCTCGAGCATTTACATATTCATTTTTTGGCGACTCCACGAGCAGGGCATATTTACCCTTGGAATTGCGCACCCGTCGTATGCCCTCGTCGTAGGTACTAACAAAGACGTGCTTTCTTGAGTTCATATACTCCCACATCTTATTGTGCAATCCAATGGGGGAGCGCTGTGAAAACGAATCAGACGAGTGTTTTTTATAATTGTTGAGTATTTATAATAATTGCAATTTGTTTCGAATATTAAAGGTCTTTGAGAGAGCTTTAGTCTAAGACTTTATGACTGTTAACAGACGGACTATATTTTTTTTTCGATATATATCGATAAATAAATGTAAAATGATTGCAGCTCAAGAAAGTGGAAGTTGGAATTTATTAATGTATAATTGTATTCGTATTTGTATCTATGTATGCTAAGAATGTTAATAAAAGGTAAAATCAACAAATCGATATATATCGATATAAAAGATAAAAGCCAAATAAATACGCTGTTGCTTGTAACAGATCAAAGCTGTATCTATGTGTTATGAGACTTAAATTTAATAATTTATATTTAATTTAAGCTGAATCGATATGAATTATGAATTGGAAATTTAATCGATAACCATTTCAATGTACCCAACTAGGTAACTCATAAGTAACAAAAGGCTAACGAAGATGCGCAGAAATTCGAATTAAAGTTAGCTATTTCAAAAATATTTCGTTCAAAAAAAATCAAATGAAGTGTTATCGATAACACAGATTGCTCAAAAAACTCAAAAGTCATAGCAGTTCAAAGCTTTTTCTGCCCACACGACTCTTTGCTCAGTTGAGCTTAAAATTTCGTATTATCAAATGACAAAAAGTTCGCACAGACTTACCCGAAAGAAATCCCAGGTGGAGCCATGCAACAGTGTGCCGTATTGGACCTCCGTTTGCATGGCCAAATCCTCCGGCGAATTGATGGGCGTAACCATGCGCTCAACGGTAAGAAAGGCAGCCAAATTTGCGGTATACGAAGAGATAAGTATGAGTGTAAAAAAGAACCAGGATGCAGCAGCAATTCGACCCGAAACAGAACGAGGCGACAGATCGCAGCCTTGCTGCATAAAGGCGGACAGCGAATACCAAAACGAATTCCAAATGCTAAACTCATTGACGGACGCTGCGCCGCCTGCCGTGCCAGATGCAAGACCACTGTTGCCAGAGGCTGCGGCGGCGGCGGCAGCAGCAGCAGATAGAGATGCCTGTAGAGCGGCAGACGTCTGGACACCCGGCGTTGGGGGGCCGGGCGGCGGTGGTATGGGTGCGCCGCCAATGATGCCGGGTGGCTGCTGATTGGCAAGCTGTTCGTGATGTGCATGTGGATCTGTAAGCGAAGCAAATAGGCAGAGAGAACGGTGAAAAGTGAGAATGAGCGGGGTAAAGTTTGTGAGTGGGCCACAAATTGTAACCGCAACAGTGCTGACAAGTAAGCAATCTATTTTAAAGCTAAAGGTGTAGCGCTCGTTACGAATACCTTAATTAGGGCATTTTCCAGCTAGATTTTAGCTAGAAGGTTTGATCTTAAGGCTAGTTTATGTGGCCATTTACCTTTTTAGGGTGCGTTCCCTTTAAGGCAGTCTACTCCTTTTAAGAGCGCCTAAACTAGTTCTGACGTAGTCATTAATGTCTGCTAGACTTAGGTAGACAATTTTGGAGAATTTAGCCAATTTTCAGCTATTTTGTAAAGAGCTATATCTAGCTTGTCCTAGACTGTCATAGCTTGGATATTTTCTAGTAGAAAAATAATAGCCATATGTTTATTTTTCGTCTAGAAATATTTTTCAGATTATTTTTTTCAGCTAATATCAAGAAAAGGGACCTAGCTGTAAAATTATTTAGTTATATTATACTTTTATTTGCATATTTAAAAATAATTTACACTCCATCTAACATGGCAATTTATTTTTAAAAATATAGCTCTTGTTTAACTTGAAAAATAGTTAGGCTATTTTAAGACATAATTTTATATATTTAAAGAATTACTTAATAAATAAATACTTAATACACTGCCAAATAAACTTTTACCTATTCACATAGTAAAAAGTATATATATATAAAATTATCTAATATAATAAAAATTCCTTTAAATGAACTCCAAAATCTTGTGTATTTATAAAATCTAATCAAATTACACTCCACTACAAAAAAAGCAGCAACATTTGCGCTTTGAGTTACTGTTTTCTTCATAAATCAATTAATTTCGAGCTATTTTTAAATATATATATATATATATATATATATATATATATATATATATATATATATATATATATATGTTATGCCAACACTAAGCCGCAGCACGCAAACTATGCTGGACAAGCCAGCTGTCCTTATCGACAGACAGACGAAACATATCCTGCATACACATGTAGCACACACACACACACACACTCGCACACACATGCATGCATATATGTATAAGTTGTTCAGCTGGCGCTCGTGTTGGCTGTCCAACTGGCAACTGTCAATCATTTCGTTTGGCTTGACTTTTTGCGCCTGCTCTAATTGATATGCAATCAAGCGCATAGCCAGAGCTTCTACTGGTTTGGCCTTCTGCTCCTGCTGCCAGCTCCTACTGCTGGCGCTACCATCTCACTGCCAGCTGCTGTCATTTGCTTCAATTGCTGCTAGTGACGGCTTCTGACTAGTCAATGGCTTCAGGCATTCGGTCTGTCATATCTGAACATTTTCATGCACTCGCATTTCCAAGTTTTTATTTTGCACTCGTCACTCTCCTATTACCTCCTTCTTCGTCCTACTCCTCCTCCTTCTCCTCCTCTTCTTCTTCGTCATTTTGTATGTTCTATGTGGTTTTTATTTATATTTTTCAGTGTTCGTGTCTGCCTGGCAACACGTTGCTTGCATACAAAATGTTGTTTACTTTCCGCTAAAATTACATTAAGGATGTTTTGCAGGATGCCAATAGATTGTTATTGTCTGCCCCGGTTTCATATGTGACCTACGCTTTTTCGACTTTGATTGCCAAACCAAATGCGAAACACCAAACAACCAAATTGAATCACATAATTGAATTATATACGAATAGCAGCAAAAAACCAGCCTCGAAAAAGTTATGCAGATGCCACAGCAATTTTCACAGTTTCCCCCTCTGAAAAATCACAAAAACACGTTGCGCGTTTTCCCAGGCTTTCCCAGCTAGCACCAGCTCATAAAATATCCATAAAAGTGTTGCACGAGATGTACTTATATTTCGCTTATGCTGCCTCAATTTTATTTAAATATTCTAATATCTTGTTTTCAGCTGCTTGTAATCTCTAATGCTTGAGCTGGAGCTAGAGGTCGAGTTCTCTGTTAATAGAGTGGCCTATATCTGTATGTCTTTTATATTATTTAAAAAAAAATAAAAAGTAATAAATGTGCTCAATAGCAGATAGAGAAAACAGATTTGATGCATATATATCAGTTATATATGTGTAGCATATATATTCCCTATCGCAATGACAAGTTATGTCTATACAGCTAGTTCTGTCTGTTCGCCTTTCGTTCTGCTTCTCACTTAATTCCAAACGAATGTAAATTCTCACTCAAAAAGTGCTCAAGAGCTCTGCTCGAGTTGACTTTTGAGTGACTTTTGGGTATAAAAGGGCGCAGCAGCGGCTGTGGACGATCAGTCAAGTTTCTGACCTGGACTGGGTCAGTCGCAGTGCAGTGCAGTGCAAGTGGTGAATAAATTTAAGTTTTTTTTTTGTTAAATTTGTTTAATTTTAAATTTCTTTTGTTCAATTAATATTTTATATATATTTAAGTTTTTCTTGTTATTGAACATTGTCTATTTGTTTACTGAATATTTATTATTTAATTGTTTAAATGTTAAAAATATTTAATTTTAGTATTTAAGTAGCTTTTAATTATTATTAAGCACCAATTGTTATTATAATAATGATGTTCATTAGCGATAATGATCATTCAAAATAATGATCATTTATGTTAATGATTATTACTGGAAATTATCGTTAACTATAATGATCATTAATAAGATTTTTTCATGGTCATTTTGTAATGCTAATTAAGTAATGCGTCAAATACTTATATTATCCTGTTCTCTTTAAAATTGTTAATTACTATAGTTAATATTATTATATATGTAATAAGATAAATAATATTTAGTAGCACAATATGTTATTTACCTCTTTGTTATATAGTTAATTTAAGAAGTCTACTTAGCGTTTGTCATGAGCAGAGAATCTCTTCTCTTAATTTTCATTTTTATAACATTATATTTTTGCACACATGTAAATCATATCAAAATATATCTAAGAATATGAATTATATGGAATTTATAATATAATATTATATTATAAACCTTTTAACTTTCCTTACTCTTTCCTTACTCTTCAAAGACCTTATATAACATATAAAATAATTATGTATATTTTATTTCTTATATCTTACAATTCTTCCAAAATAACTTTTTTTTACTCTTATGGGATTTATAATATATTATATTATAAATCTTTTAACTTTCCTTACTCTTATTATTTTACTCTTCAAAGACCTTATATAAGCTTATAACCTTATATATAAAATAATTATATATATTTTATTTCGTATATCTTACAATGCTTTCAAAATTACTTTTTTTTTATTCGTTTCCACTTCAAGTTTAGCCCAACTCCAATGAAAGCATTTAACTCTATTATAAATATATATCCATTCCTATATATATTCCATAGGAAATACATCTTCAATTAAACACGTTTTTTAAAGCTACTTTTAGCTAATTTCCATTTTTATCAAACAATATCTCAAATTTCAAAACTCACACACACATTGTAGGTAAATCTTACCTGTTAGCTGGTTTTGTTGTAGCGGCTGCTGCACAAGGCGCCATTCATTGGGCGAGAAGCGCGAGACAAAGAAGAGCACGATGCTGACACCAATATAGCTGAAGATGACGCTCACCTGTTGGCGAAGCATAATAAAAACAGGAGAAGCGTGTGAGATGCAGATACAGATACGATAGCTTTTACTTCTGCTTCAGCTGCTGCCACCTGTCTTCCTGCCTAGCCCGTTTCACCTGCCCCACACACAGACTTCTAGCTACTGTATAATTTGACCAAAAAAAAAAAAGAAAAAAATTTCATTCAATTTTCTTTACTAATTGAAGCGGAAGCGGCAATGGCTTCCCTAGAAAATGGAGGAACATTAGCTTAATGGGATGCAGTAGCAAGCGAATAAACAAGGTATCCTAAATGAGAAGCATGACTGACTAGCAGATACCCTGCATTGTAAATATCTATAGAGTTATGATTGTATTTTTTGAGTATAGAATTTAAATTTTATATTTTGTAAGTGTTATGGAAGGTCTTATTTCAGAAAAGAAATGTAATGTATTTGTGTAAGCTAAATCACCTCTAGCTTCTATAAAATCTCTTGGGAGATTTGCTAAATATATTTTCTCAAAATCGATATATATCGATTTGGTGTAAGTGGTGAATTGTGTAAAATATGGTAAGGAAAATAACAGAGCTTTTGAAGCTTTTCGATTTCTATTTACGTAAGTGACAGAAATCGGATCAAAAATTCTGAACACAATCTAAATTTCAAGTCTGTTGATGTTTGTCTAAGACAAGCGGACGATCTCTAAAAATCGATATTTATCGATGGTAGTAAAAGTAACAAAGTAACAACAAAAAAAAAACAAAATATATAAAATAAAACAAAACTAAATAAAAAGATAAAAAAATAATAAGAAATATTAAGTAAGCTAAATATTAAGTGAAGTAACAACAATATATATAAAATTTTGAAATTCTATCTTTTACAATCTCTGAGACTAGCGCTAAACGGCAATTGCTGCTTATCGATATTTATCGATTTGTAGCAAAATACAGTAAATCATGAAAAGAAGACCAACAAATGCACAGTCCTTGGCTTTTATTCATATAAACGTGAGCATGAGTCAATGAACTCTGGTGTTGATGCTTCTTAGCAAATTTATTTATATTTTAGACAAGCTTCCAAAACCTAAAAAGCTGTAACTGTGTTACCAAAAAAGAGCATTAATTGTGAGTTGAGAAAGTAAATATATATATAAATATATATTTATATATGTATATATATTTACAACTTTTTCTACATTCAAAATGGGTTACAGGGTATAAAAACAAAGCCAGGTGGCGTTGGCTCCTGTCGAGGACTTCGACAGGCTGCCAGCTGCCCCCATGTGTGCCTGTCTGACTGCCAACTGTTGCCGTTGCCGTTCTCGCTGCTGTTGCCGTTGTTGTTGTTGTTGCTGTTTATATTGTTGTCGTTGTCGTTATCAATGCTTCAATGGCTGCCACGGGGCGCGCCTTTGTGTGCTGGCAAAAAAGAAAAAGGTGTCGGCGACGGCGTCGTCATAGTTGCTTTCATGAACACACACGCCCACACACACCCGTCGAGACTGTAGGCCTGCTTTGCTCATGTGTGTGCCAGTCTGTGTGTGTACAATGCGTCATTTAATTTATGATAAAATTTTTTGTTCAAGTCAAGTTCATTTATATTAGCTCGCTAACTTCAGCAGGCATCGTCGAGCTTTTAGCCTTTTTTTTTAGCCACCTTTTGCTCTTTGCCTTGCGCTCGAAGCAATTTGCATTTGTAATTCTTTGAGCTCATGTCAAAATAAGCGTAAGATTTCACAGCGCTGTTCACTGACTTTTATAAGCGTTTAATTTCGTTCTTTACTGCAGAAAGGATTTGCCGCGCTGTCGACATTAGCCGGAAAATGTTTTAAGCTAGAAAATGTTGGGGCTTAGAAGTCGCAGTTGGGCTTGGAAAATGATATGTGGGCGTGATTATTTATGCATATTAACTAAACTTGTTGCTAATTTGGTGTAATTGAGGCGTATGTTAGCTTGGAAAGCAGTTCAACCTGAGATGAAGTTAGATTTGAGGTAAGAAAATGTGAATCTTAAATATCATTGAGCCGAACAAAGCCGGGTAACATTTTATACATGTTACGTGTACTTGTATGAATCGAAGTTTCAACATTTCTTTATGCACTTTGTGTTTTTTTATAATAAATAATTATTATATATAATTTGAGGTCAAACAATGCCATCTAGACCCAGGGCATGATGTTAAGATGTGTGTAACAGGTAGAAAGAGGCGTGGCATATCCCATAGAGTATATATATTACAGTTTGAGCGTATTCTAGTTAGTGACTTGTGGTTCGATCGCACAGCTCAAGTTTCCTTCAAATAATCGATACGTTTTACGTCTTTCTAATCTCAGCTGACAGCACTTCGCTGCTCATAAGGCAATACTTCTATAGCTAAAACTTTCCATAACTATGCTTGTCTTTTATAATCCACTCTACTCGCCTCGATATGCATATAAATAATGCTTATTTTAAATCCCTGGCTTTATTCGAGTATATTAGGCATATTTATTAGCTCTTGGCCCAGAACTGCTTCACTTTTCATGCATTTCAGCTCAATTGAGTTGTCGCTGTCATTAGATTAAAGAGCCAATTCTGCTGTGGAGTATGCTGAGAGTCCTTGCAACTTGTGCCTTTTTGGCCGGCTCCTATATCAACATCATCAACTAAATGCTCATATAATTCTGATGGCTGGCCATTATTTAAACAAGCGTCGAGCGGCCAAAAACTTTTGGACTAGCGCCAAATTTAATACTTGACGTCGACGTAATTTCTGCTCGCAGCGCTTGTAGTTGTTGTTTATATAAATGTTTCAAAATAAAATAAAAAAAATACAACAACAGAGAGGCAAACCGTAGACAGAGAGAGAGAAAAAAAGTTTGTCGTTTACTCTATTAAACTTTTGGGGAGCTTACGAGGTAGCAAGTTGAAGCCGAAAACCAAAGGAAATAAATATACAAAAGTCCAAGTTCTGCCCGCAAAGTTTCGCACAGAAATAAAATAAGATGAACAAAAATAAATGGAGGGTTGGCAGCGTAAAAATTACCAGGCAATGGAGGATTTTTTTCTGCTTTTTTTTTTATTTAAAAAAAGCCAAAAAAAAAACAAAAAAATTATAAAAACTTTACTCATTTGTATGCAGCGCAAAATTTTGCATTATTTTGACTCGTTACCAAATGTCTAAGAAAAAACGAAAAGCAGTGTGCCGCACGTCTAGACGCGGATACAGTTATCAGCATTTGGCTTATATGGTGGAATTAATCGCAATTGATGTTGCTTATAAGGAGCGCATATCAAGATGCTTTTGTCTGTCAATCTGTTGTTTGTCAACTTGGAGCTTCGCCAAGGCAATGGCAAGCCTAAGTCAACAATGGTGTGCTATACCAATGAGCTTGTGACAGGTATGCTTTGCAATTTGATCAGCTGGAATTCCAGTGAGCTACTATTATAAGGCAGTATAAGACTTTTTATAGTATGCAGCACATGTCTATCAATCAGCTATTTGTTAGCTAAGAGTTTCGCTATGACAGTGCAAAGTAGAGTTGTATAACATGTAGCTTGTGACAGCTATACTTTACAGGCACTTTGATCAATAAAATCACATTGAACTACTAATATAAGATAATATAAGACATTTCATAGTAAACAACTTCTGACTGCCTCGTCACATTTGGACCAGTACGAATTCCATGAGCCAATAATATAAGATAGTATAAGACATATCCTATAACAAACCTTTTGCCTTAGTTCTTGTAAAATCTTAAAAAAATATTCGAGCCGTTCAATCTATTTCATAACATTGAGCTTTTTAAAGTCTTAATCCGCAGATAGTTCAAATACAGACAGACAAGTTCAATAATATAAACCATCAATAACATTGCTAAACTTGTGTACAGGAACGGAATAAATACATTTTTCTCTTTTCTAAAATACTTCAGAAATATAAGAGTTTGCAGAAAGTTTCGCTCAAAAACGAAGTCACGAATTTGTTAAGTAAAATTCCTTGAGCAAACCCATTTCAGTTGCTAAACAAGTCAAAATATGTATGTATAAGTTCTGCCAACCGAGTCTAGGCTGTAACTGGGACACGACTACAACTAGAGAGGGGGACGCCGACCCTATGACATCTTGCAGCAGCAATGCAGCGCCTTAGTCAAAGTTGCGCTCAAGCCACTGGCTGGAACGTAAAGTTTCTAATCGAGCAGCTACTACGGAGAGACTAGTATATAAATATATATATGTGTGTGTGTGTATAGATATATAGAAACAGTTACATATACGCACCCAAATTTCCTGTGATAAAGGATTCATGAAGCTGAACACGCCGGGCGTTTGCTTCACTGGCTTCTTAATCATAATGGAAATGCCCAGCGACATGAACGGCTTGCTAAAGTCGATGACACGTTCGCGTTCAGCGGTAATCGTCATGGCGGCAATGGCAATATCCGCTTCCTGCTCAAATGAGAAAGAGACAGAGAGAGAGAAAGAGTTGGAGTTGAAGTTATAGCTAGCTGTCAGTCATGTATATATGTATATAAAGTCGCACCTTGCGCACCAGCTCGCCCACCATGCCATCCCAGCCCCCATGCACGGCCGGATTCTCAGAGCCGTAATTGCCATCCTTCACCAGACGCAGTTCATCTGCAAGAAACGTGCATTTAAACAGCTGCCATAGATATCTGTCTCTCCATATATATATAGGCGTGTATATCTGGCAACATCTTTTTCAACTTACATTCAAGCCCCAGCTTCTTGGACAGCAAGTCAGCCAGATCCTTGCAATAGCCCTCGAAACGTTCATTGCCAGGCAGCTTCTCGCCAAATGCCGGCTGCTTTATCATTATGTACGGCTCCTCCAGCACCGTAGTGACAATGTACGTGCGATTCTTTTCGAACTCCACATGCGGACGCAGGCGCACATATTTAGCATTCAACGGCTGCAGTCCCCCATTGTCATTCCACTCGGCAACTTTTACCTGCAGAAGGAAAAAGAGAAAAACAATACGAAAAGAAAACGAATTTCCGCTTTTATTTAAGTAAAAGACAATGAAGTTCATATTCATATTGAGTGGGCGTGTCACACCCTAGCAAAGTGGGTTCAAGTATTGTTGGTTGAGCTTGCATGGCTGACATATATAGCAAATATATAACATGTCACCTGTAAGCGTAGGAACTCAAGCAATTTAGAGATATAAGAATTTCAATCCAAAAAAATATTAATACTGTACATTAAGCGACTTATAAGTAGTATACCTTTAAAATTTGGAAGATCTAGCTCTTATAGTTCTCGAGTTAAAGCGTTTTAAAGCTCAAGCGCCCTCTAATAGACCTTTAACTTCTATATACCAAAGTACTCCGAACATCAAGCTCTCAACTTCTCTTATATTTACATATTAACTGCACAAAACTAATATACTCCCTTGCTAGTTTACTTAAGCCACAGGATATTTAAGCTTCTGCATGCCAAAAATAACGGTACTCGCTGCCTTCCTTTTCTAGCTGCGCCACATGAATTAAAGCTGCAGGCAATTGCTGCTGGCTCTCTAGCTCGTCTTCCCGTTACATGTGCCGTTATTTATATATGTATATACCGTTACATACCATGGCGCTGTTGACGGTCATCTCGACAACGTGCAGGGTGTAATTGACTCGTCGGCCATCATCGTTGAATTTGATATCCCCGGTGAGTCCCTCGATTTCCACCTGTCAAAGGTAATAACAAAAACGAGAACAAAAAAATGAACCAAAACAAAAAGAAAAATATGAGCGTGGCGTTTTAATTGCTTTGCCGAGCTTCGGCGTAATCATCATCGTCTTTATGTTCATTATGATCATGACATTGATGTCTAACTCACCTTTCTCAAATAACGGGATATTTTATCGCCATGCTCCCATGCATTCACCCAGCCCTTGGCCGTATTACAGTCCAAAGCACGCGGCGCGCTGCCAAAGCCGCTGCTGGCGTCGCTGCTGCCACCGTTGCTGCCGCTGGCGCCGCCACCGCCAACGTTGTTGCTGCCATTGGAGCCATCGCCGGCAGTGGAGGCCGCTGCCTGGGCCTGGGCGACCATCAGCGTTTGACTACGACGCTGCACATTGTTTCTGAATTGATCCGGCTTCTTGCGCAGAATTTTGTTGAATGCCTCCACCAGCACAAAGACCGCATCGTACATGAGCGCCGCTTGTGCCTGTGTATGAGTTTTAATGATAAAATTGTAGGTGGACGGGGCTGCACTCATTTCATTTGCTGGCACTTAATGAGTGTATTACACGCTCTTTTTCACAATTTTCACCCCGTTTTTTGTTAATGTTTAATCGAATTGAGAATTTACGCGTCGCGACGGCTTACTAAAAAAAAGTTAGCTGGATTTTTGGCGGGCGCTGTTTTTAACAGGTGACTGTTAAACAGCAGCAACTATCGTTAAATGCAATTTATCGAAAAGACTCGATCGATATGTGAAACGTGTACTAAAAATATATTTTACGGGTATCTAAAGTAATACTTATATAAATGCAGGCATTAGTGTTGATTTAATGAAAATGTACTATATTATGTTATTCAATTATGCAGCTGAGCGTAAGTTTTAAATTCTACACGATTGTTGCTGTCCGATAACAGAGATGCTTAACAGAATCTGATTGGTATTCTGTAAAGCTGCGACTTGTAGGAATGTTGCACTAATAAGATTATGTACCTTTCTAATAGCACGTAGATAACAAGATTTAAGCCTTAGTACATGCATTAAACAATTTACAATGAAAATATCGAAATATAACATATTTTCAAATTGATGGATAGTACCAAATCTATTAAATAAAATAAGAGTAAGTTATTGTCTTATGTTAACAGAAGATCAAGTACACAAGTACCAAATATGGTACATTTCTGTAAGACATGTCGCATCCTTGTTTAACATTTTCTTATTAGTAGTTCATAAATCGAAAGACGCGCACGAATAAAATGGCGGAGACTTTGAGCATTTCGTGCGGTTTATTGCGATCTAATAATTATTTCGCTTAGATATAATTAAAAATGTAATCAAAAGTGAAATTTGAATGTGTCAAATAAAAACTTATAGTTTTTATATTGAATAAAGCTTCAATCCCTGCAAAATTCTTCACTCATTTGCGTGTGTGCAGAGCTCTGCAAAAGTGAAAAATGAAAGCATATGAAGAATGCCTAAGAGTGCGAGAGAGAAAAAGCAGCGAACAGCGAAAGAAATGCTCGCAAATTTTCGCTTTTTTCCGCCATATTTTTCGTGCGTAATTCTTTTTTTTTATTGTAATTGTAAAAGTTGCAAATAAGTGAGTTTAAATTCTTTATAATTATATTGTTGTTGTGCCCGTTAAATGCGAAATGTGTATAAAAGTAGAAAAGACGGCTTTAATTATTGTAAATTTTCTATTGCATACATACATGCATGCAAGTATGTATGTGTGTGTGAGAGTGTGTGTGAGTGAGTGCGCTAAGGAGAGCGAAAATTTCAGCTCTTTCATAGCAATTTGTGTGAGTGCAATTTTTTTTACATTTTTTTTTTGATTAATTTTTTTGTATGACGGCGAAAATACGCTCAAAGGAAAGTGAAATTCTTTTTTTATATAACTTTTTTTAAATGAAGCATGTGAAAGGCGAACAAGTTAAAGTTTTAAATTGCTGCCTTTTTTCTGTGTTAAGTGCTAAAAGCGAAAATGTGTAAAATGTAAGTAAAAGTTTCTAATTTGTATAGCTCATAAGTAGTAAAGCTTTATACATACATCCACATTTATATGTGTATGTGTGCATGTGTGGATGTGTGCATGTGTGTGTGTGTAAAAGAGATTCGCACAAGTCAAATAAACAAATAAGCATTGTCAAAGAGAGCAACAGCAAAAAGGGATTGTGTGTGTATATATGTTCATATATATGTATGTAGAGCGTAACATTGAAGTCCTGAAGCATAATACAAACTAACATTTAAGCGCCACAAAGTGAAATCTTTGTCAACAAGGATAATGCCAAGGAAATACAAATATAAACAGCACGCAAACTATACCAACTGTCGAGTAGTTTACGTGTGAGTGTGTGTGTGTGACAAGGACAACGGCACACATATGCTATGTAGCTGTGCCTTTTGTGTGTGCCTTTGACTGAAAGTTGCTGCTGAACTATGTAAAAAGTGAAATCTGTCGCCCATTTTGTGCTGTTTGTGTTGCTATTTGACTACACAGTGAGAGTGCGAGAGGAAGAGAGCAAAAACTATGCTACGGTTACATCAGTGTTGATCGTGACATGCCGTGACTGTGGCTGTGACTGTGAATAGCAGTCCACTGCATATTTTAACAGTCTGGCTGTTACTAACAGTCAAATTTATATTCTTTGTTGTTAACAGTCAAATTTATATTAGTATGCAGCGCTCTGTTAATAACAGTCAAATATATATTAGCATGCAGTTGCTGCTATTAACAGCTATTAACTATTGCAGCTATTAACAGTCTCGTCTAAATTATTAGTCATGATCTGCCTTTAACAGTCAGTACTATATTATTAGTCATAGTTTTAATATTAATATTTAGTAAAATGTAATGAGTCACTTATAAATAAGAATCAAATATAACAATCTCACAGTCACAGTCAAAGTGCCCTCATCTCTATTCGCATTGGTAAACATTAAATGCCAGCAAATATTTAACTGCTAGCAGCAATGACAATGCGTCCTTTGCAACTGCTTGCAGCGTGCGTCTCTCGTCCTTTGTCTATTTATAGAACCTTACCGAAATCGATTCACGGCCAGCTCCAACGCTAGTCTGTGGGTCGAGTCGCTTCCAGCTGTCATAGAAGTCGCGTACGAGACGACGATTTGTGTCCACAATGCGAAATCCGGTAATGTTAATGGCACCAAATTCGATTATCTCGCTTTCCCAGCGATCGTCCATGACCTGACAAACGAAATCGATGCACATTGGTTGAAAACTTTGCCATGTCCATTGCCATTGCCATTGCCGCTGGCTGGAACTATTCTACTTACCAATCCACTCAATAGATAGTGATAGGTGCGACGGCCCAAACGCAAATCCCGCACATGCTGTATCAGTATTTGCTTGGCCATTTCCGTTGGACAATCCAGGACGATATGCTTGTTGGTAAAGCGTCCGATATGCTCCAGCGTATGCAAGAACTCAATGGCCATGCTGACATTCGAGATGCGCTTGACCAGCTCCACTTGAAAGGACTCGTTGCCCGGCTTCAGGCCCTGGTAGATTTGTTGCAGTCGCAGCAGACCTGCAATGGCATGTGGAGAGCGAGAATGACTCTAAGTGCGTTAATTAACAGAGGAGAGCGCACATTATAGCTATTATCGCATACAGTCGGTCGAGGGGAGCAACTATACCGATTAACGCAGTGCTCCCCTGCAGAGGACTGAAAGGTTTAATTAGATACTGAAGAGGGTTATATGAATTCCTAGCAAGCTGAGTCGGGCACAGTTTCTAACTCTTGTCGCATTTCAGGAAATCAAAATCAACTCAGAATTTGTTTCACAAAAATTTATGGACGACATATGTGCTGGGTCTCACAGTTAGATGATAGCCATGGCTAACTAACAAATTGGTGCCTAGAGCAAAGCCACGTTTCATTCAGGCAGTGACCCCTTTTTGCTGCACGCTCCTGGAATTATCATTGGCCGAGATTTGCATTTGTGTTTATTGAGTTATCTGTCTCTTTGCTGCCGTTGCTGGTGCTGCTGTTGCTTTTGCTGGAACTAACTGCACGCTGCATACAACTTTCATTCGCACTTAAACAGATACGCAGGCCTCGAGGCAGCCAAAACTTGACGATGGGGGACAGATAGCCTAGCCTAGCTAGGCACACACACACACTCTCAGGCAGGCAGGCAGGCATGCAGACAGACAGACACTCAGGCAGATAGCTGCGCAGATGATTTGTATGACAGCTACGCACAAAAAATACCCTCACCTCACTGCCACCCCCTTTCTCACTCTCTCTCTCTCTGTCTCTTTCGATGCAGCTTGAATGCGCCTTCAATTTATGTTTGCGGATAAAATGGGATTTGCTTTGGATTTTGCAATGGCACATGCCTCTGACTCTATTCCATTGAGCGTTACGGCTGACACGCCCATTGAGGCGGCTGTTGATGCTCACGGCAGAAGCACACACACACTCTATCTCTCTATACATATCCAATTTGTTGTTGTTTTGATTTACACTATATACATATATCCTGTGCCAATGCCAATGGATGAAGTTGGCATATACCCTGTACGTTAAGAGCGGTATATGAGTTGATAGCTCAGCTCGGGTATTTTAATAGCCATTTGATAACTAAATAAGTAAATTAGACTAAAGTCTATATTTAAGTCAGTTATTTTACAAGGCTTACTAAGGGGTATCTGTTAGTAGGCTATGGTATATACCCCATACATCTGATCAGACAATTGTCATTTACAGGGTATCAACCAGAAGCTTACATAAATATAGTTTAATACAGGATATCTGCTAGTCGATTATTTCCGCTCACTTAATTCGTACTTCAGCAGAAGAACCAATTTTTTGCGCTGTTTTAGTGCAATAAATTTTGCGCTTTGCTTTTATACAATTTCATTTGGCTGCTGGCCCACTCACACACACACACACACCCAGTCCCACTTCTATCTATCTAGAGCCCACTCCAAAGTCAATCGGCTTCTTGCCTGCCACGCCCCTTCCGCTCCTTTAGTATTTTCTATAGTCCTTACGCTTCGCTCGCCTTTGGATTTGAGTTTTGGGTTTTGTGTTTTTCGATTTGAGATTTGTCGTTTGGATTTCCATGTGTGTGTGTGCGCGTGTGTGTGCGAATATTGAGAGTGTAATTGAGTAGCGTACTGTGTGCTGCGACTGTTGGGCTTTTGTTTTATTTCATTTTTGATATGAAAACATTTGCGACTGCCACGCCCCCTCAGCCATCGCACTTCTCTTATTCCCTATAATATGTTTGTACCCGAATTGATGGCTCGAAATTGGCTTCTGTCTTGATTCTTATTTTTGTTTTATGCTTTGTTCTTTTGTTGTTGCTCTTCGCTTTTCGTTTCTGGTTCTGTTGGGTATTCCAATTTTCTCTTTAAGTGCGAAACGTTTGGATAAAGCTTTCATGAAAGCAACAATATGTTGAGGAAATTCCATTATTGCTTTACTATGTTAAGGGGATTCCAGCATTATTATATCTAATTTTTCTAACTTTTATAAATTATATTCTTTTGTTGGATCTTGTCTAGTTTTTTTTTTAATTTTTCCTATATTTTACTATATTGAGGGTATTCCAAATTTAATATATATAATTTTTTAGTTCTTTATTTGTTTTCTGCTTTGAAGTTTTAAGGCTTCTTCAGCTTTTTTTTAAGTTTTACAAATGTATTAATATTTTTATTAAGGGTATTCTAGCTTCATTATATATATAAATTTCCCAACTTTCATATATAAATTTCCTAAATTTTATTTTATATATTAAGGGTATTCCAGCTTGACTATATATAATTTTCTAATTTTATATATAAATTTTTTTCTCTCCCGATTGGTTTTTCTGCTTCATCTGAATTTCGGGTGAAAATGTATTTATTTCATATTATATTAAGGGTATTCTAGCTTCTATACATCTAATTTTTATATATTTCCTTTCTCTTTCCCAATTTTTTTTCTGCCTCTTCTTAAGTATTTTGGCCTGTGCGTATTTCCGTTTTGTTTTTATTGTTTTTTCTTCTTCTGCTGTTCGGCCTGTGGCCTGTCGCATTGTTTTATGCCCGTTGCTTTCTAAGTCTGCTTTGGTTTTATTTATGTTGCGAATTTAATTTACAATTATATTTATTTTTTATAGTCATCTCGAAGTAAATTCAATTATTGTGTTGGTGCTTTAAATTCACAATGGCAAATTCAATAAAATTGAATTCTTTTTAAAGGGATATCTATCTCTTTCTCTTGCTGTCTTGCTGTCTCTGTTTGTGAATCTTGAGGGCCTGCTGTGTGGCTATGCAAATGCAGTAGAGACTGTCATATCCTGACTCTTGTTTATTTGCTGCTTGTCTATTTTCCACTCACATGCGAAAAGTAAACAAGACAATTTGTTATGTTAAACAAAAGTTAGTTTTGCGGAAATGAAGTTTTCCTCCCATCGGTAGTGACACTCAGCCATACACACGCACACAGACACACACACTTAGCTACAGCTAGGCTCTATAAAACACACTAACAAGCAAAACATTTGCTTACATATTTTATGCCCTAACAAATGAGAAAGATAATGGAATTATTATAAGCAAGTTTTTGTGTAGACAATTTACTCAGCCTGACTCTTAGCATATCTGATAAATGTATATATATTTATATAAATATATATGCATACATATATATATAATATAATTTTATATAATTAAGATAGCTTTGATGTATTCATAAAATCTTGTAAATACTTTTGTCACTTGTTCTTGTAGTAAAGAGAGTATATTGGCTTCCAATACGCACACTAAGTGATATTTTGTAGCTTAAACTATACTTGATAGTTACTGCAAACTCTTTCTTAAGCTCTACCATAAATGCCTCAAATATTTTTGTATCGTGAACGAGTATTGCGCAGTCGTTTGCATCCGATTACAAATTGTTTTGCTTTGATTTTTTGTACACAAAAGTATTTTTTAAGCATTTCCTTGCTTTGAAATATAATTATATAGTTCCTAAAGATGTTTGTATGAACAATTCAGATTAAATAAGTGTAATTTGAAATATTTTCAATGTATTTTATTTTCTTACTTTCAATAATTGTCTTTCAGGTCTGCCTCTTTGTTCCGCCCTTACCTTTTCATATCATTCTCTGTTTCTATTTTTGTTTTTTTGCCGTAGCAACTTCTTGATATCTCAATGCCTCCTAGAAACATAGCTCTTTAAGCCCCCTTTTGAAACACATTTGAAAAGAGCAACTATTCTTAAGGAATATCTTAGATGTTGAACTGTTAAAGCGGAATGCCCCCACCATGCTTCGGTTTCCCTCCGTTGCAACTTGGCTGCTTGTTATGGCCTTCACTTGTTCGCCTTGTTGTGTGTTGTTATCAGAAACTTTGTTTGGTTTAATTACTTTGAAAGTGTGGGCGTGGCAGTGGCAGTGGCTGAGCAGGATTCGGCCTTATGCGCATATGTTCTCAATGGCTTTTCTGGCAGCAGGCGGCTTCAAAAATGTATCAAATAACATGAAAGTGAAATCGCTGTAAAAGCCCATTACGGTTAAATTAATGGCAGACAAGCTGGCAGTTTATGCCAGCCTTGACTTCTGATCGAATCCTTTCCACACACAGCTTATGCAAATTTCTTCAGATTTTTCTCGGTTTTTTACGATTTTCCGATTTTTATTATTATATCATTTTCTAGTCGAAGGACAACGCATTTCCTTATTATTATTCATGATGGTGCCTGCAATCAGATTTGTTTTGGATTTTTATGCACACATTTCGAATGATGAGAATGGAATAAAGAACTCTAGGGAAATAGCTACATGTACTATAGGGTATATAGGGTATATGAGATTCATTCAAACTAAATGTATTAATTTCTTAGCTTTAAAGTGCTTGGCGTTTACAGCCAATTTTTCGTTCAAAATTTATTTTGTCTATTTTTAAGAATGTAACAAACATTATCATGCCTTCGGTATACCCCTTTTTATGGATGTTTAAGTACAGGGTATACATAGAAAATTTAATAAATTAAAAAATTGAATTAGCAGTTGAAAAAATGTATGAAATGCAAAAACTGTTGCATACTTCTGATCAATTCGCGTATATCCACATTATAACTATAAGCTAGGGTTTATAAAATAAATAAATTCATTAAGGCAATAAGTACAATGCTGTACATTTATAGTGAGTTTGTATATGCCCCATATACCTATTAGCTATAGTGTATGCTCAACTTGAAGTAACTCATAAATGCCAAATATCTATAAACAAATTTGATTTCATTTCCATACATCACAAGAAAAATCATCATACCTATTCCGCACACCTTACTGTCTACAGGGTATTCCAATGGAATTGCATTGATTTGATTTTGCGGCCTTTTTCCATATTTAAAAGCAATCAAAGCCAATCATTGACAATCAATCGATAAATAAAATCATTTGCATAAATGTGCACTTGTCTACGAATTGATTAGCCATCCAGTTTTAAGGCTTTAAGTAAGAAGACTTTGAGTACCTGTTGTTGGGCCGGATGCTTAGTAAAATATTTATAAAGACACACAAAGAGACGAAACGACTAGAGAGCAGAACTCATTACTCGACGGGCAGATGAGCTGGCAAAAATGTCCTATATATCCTTTGCTAACCAGGCGATAAATGCAAATGTTTCTCAGCAGCTCTTCTCTGGCTGCTGGCGTCCTTTCTCTGTCGCCTGCGTAATAAATTTTCGCAACAACAATGAGTTGAAATGCCTACGCTTGGACAGGAGCCATTCTTTCAATACAACCTCCTGCTGCTGTGTTGTTGCTACTGCTGCTGTCTTGATGTGGAGGCAACATGAGAATATATACGTATATATATATATACGCACAGGCACATACATATATTATGAGACGGCGTGCTTAAAAATAAGTGAGACATTTACTTTCATTACAGACACTTGATTGTATTCATTCTATATCAACTCAACATCTCTATATATATATACACATATATACATTTATCTTTGATTTGGCTTATTTGATTTTTTGTATTCAAATAACAGAGGCTGTGTAATATTAGATCTCATATATATTTTTCATTTTCATTTTGCACACGAAATTTGAGTACAAAATGACAAAAATTGTGTAATCAAACACTGGCCTTATGCCTTTGTTGTGGCCTGAAAATTAAATTTTAAGAACGTAAATTAAACTTTATTGAGCTCTGCATAAATTTGGCAAGTTCAAAATTGAGCTAAAAGTTATTGAATTTTGCAAAATTTTTATTCATTGAAAAATTTGTGCTATTAAAATAATGGAAAAGTTGCTCAAAGTTTCCAAAAATTGTTTACAGTTTACTTTTGACAGTGACTGTACAGTATTAATAATCGATAATATTAATGATACATGTAGATACAGGTATAATAGATATAGCTTATAGAGTTATGTAATCTGTGGAAACTAAATGGATTTTAGACATCGAACCATTTTTCGCTTCTTTCTTTCAGAATCTTCCATCTCTTGAATGTTGTTTAAGAATATTTCTGAGTAACAAAAATTGGGTTTTCTTTATTAAAGAAATATATATATAAAAATAAATAATAAATATAAATAATAAAATGAAAAAAAAAGGAAAGTAAAAACTATCTCTAGAGAGCGCAGACACTTGGGTATATATTGTTGTCTTGCTGTCCAACTAGCTGCAGGCACAAGATGCGCCTGCTCTCCATGGATTCATGGACTTACAATATAGAAGCCATAATCTTATAGCCCCAAAATTAAAATGGGTGTACGCCAATTTCGCAAGTCGAAGTTGTAAATACAAGCGACAATAAACCCATAAGCTGGCAGGCATATACGCATGAATTAGGGCGCGATGCCCGATGCCCCAAAAGAAAACAAAAAAAAAATAGAAAAATATATAAAGAGCATATAGAAAATATTGTGGGTGAACTACCATATAGTGACTATTAGTATTTGTTGTTGTTGTTGTGGTGATTGCTTTAGCGCTGCCAATAGCCATAAATAGTTTTTTCCTTGGCTTGTGTATGGAGTGGGAGGGTCACTAGGCGAAAAATGTTTCTCCAATTTCTGTGTAATAAACTCGTTTTGCGTGGCACAAATAAGCACACACACGCACGCACACAGACACAAAAGAGGCAGAACGAACAGTTGCCAGTGCCACACATGCCACACAGATGCGAGCCAGGCCAAAACAAAAGCCGTTAACTTGCTACGTCGTTACGTGCCAAGTAGCCGCTGAGCATATTCCAATACCCTGTGCTGGCAGCCTGTGTAAACATGCCCATAAACTGAAGAGCTACAATTATTGTGGAACACAAAAAGAAAAGAACGAAAGGCGTTGCCTTTGGCCCACAAACGAAATCTCAATTTTGAGACAAATAGATATGAGGGTCAAAATTTGACATTTTCGATAGATATCAAGAAAGTTAAAAGATGAAAACAGATTTGTAAATAAAAATATTTTATAAAAGAGGGGCTTTGGTAAGGGAAGAGCTTACTTGTAATAAAAGAAATCTGAAAAAGGAAAAAGTTAAACTAAATTAACTATTTGTGGTTCATGAATATGTTTTAATTAATTAACTTATTTATTATTTATTTCCAAAGTCTATTTCATTTCATCATTGAATATGAAGCTAAGGAGCTGGAAAACAGCTTCAATTCTCTCTATATATTGATGATCTTAGTTTATTTACTGATATCGCAAATAATTGAATTCAATTGTTCTGTGAAATAAATATATACACATAATCTAGCTGTAATATTTTAACTCTGCAGACTTTTATCTGCTTAATATATTCTCCTTATTCCTTGTTGGCATTCCATCGACTGTTTTAATACGCAAATATTTGCTTGGCAAACAATCGAAATCTCAAGTTTTCTTTTTGGGCTAACAAAGACATAAGTGAGTGTCCCGTGCCGCAAATGAATATTCATATACATATTCATGTCTCACACCTGTGCCAAAAATCACGATTGTTTGTTATGCTTGAAATTTGATTGAGTGCCAGTATTAAACTATGGCAGCCTATACAAACAACTTAAAACAAACAAAACGCCTTGAAGCGCACACAAATACCACAGACAGAGTCAGAGACAGAGAGAGGGCCAAAGAGATTGGTAAATATAGACAGTGAATGAACGTTAACACTCGCTGTGGTTAAATTGATTGAGTGCCATAAAAAAGATTTTCACGTGGCATTCATTAATAATAATAATGCAGACGTCCGCCAGTTGACCAGGCAGCATTGTCTGCCATCGTCTGGCCTGTCTGTCACTCTATCAGCAATATCTATATAAGGTCTGTCTGTCCACCTGTCTCTCTGTCTGTATATATGTTTATCCAGCAGCCATATAAGCCAATTGGCTGTCAGTGCAGACGGCTGTGTCATTAAGTTTTATTTATAAACTGGCTAAATGGAAAATCCACGCAAAAACTTATTACAAAGCAAATTGAGAGATATAACGAGCGTAAGACAGACAGAGACAGAGACAGAGAGAGAGAGAGAAAAGTAAAATGAAGTTTGCAGGCAATGAAAGATTATTATCTCCCCTGAGCATAGCCGGAAACTGGGCAAAGCTAACTTGTAGCTCAATCTCACACTATATTAGTTATGTTATTATACACTCAGAGAAAATTGGTTAAAGTCGTTTAACTAAAGATAGACCAAAGCAAACTGAGTATAGGAACTTTAAAGTTGAGAATTTATTTAATTTATATTTTTTTTATATATTTTTAGAAATTTAATAAAAAAATTTTTGTTAGTGTAGGCAAATGTAAAGGTTTATTATATATATGGTTTATTGTACTCACCATCGTGGGAATCGTAGAGATAAATTATTTTGCGCCAGCCATAAAATTGTATTGTATCAATGATTGCCTGATGGTAATCTGGGCGCATGCTGAGGGCAAAGTCCAGGAAGCCAGACGATGGCGTAAGCACCTAAAAACGCGCAAATTATGGAAAACAGCGGTCATACATACATATAAACATAAAGACAGAGATAGACTGTGTGTGTGGGTGTAAGTGAGAGATAGAGGGAGCTTGCCAAGTTAGTAAACATGAATCATTATTGAGTCCTGCTTTCGGGCGCCCATTGTTTCGTTTGGCTCGTTTTGGGCATTTGGCTCACTGATTTATAGAGCTTGTTTGCTTATAAATTTTTAAAGAGCGCCATGGAGAGCATCATTATGGCTACAAAAACAGGTTTTGAGCCTTGCATATTTATTATTATGATTTGGAAGCCCCTCATAAATTGTGTTTTTTGAAAAGTTTTGCACACGATTTCAAGGTTAGCAATTTAAGGGCAGCCAGTGTTGCGTATGATTAATATTTCATATTAAAATAGGCAAGCCGGCAAACCGGTGCACTTTAATATTTATTAGGCCTCAACGCTGCTTACCTTTTCCGGAAACCAGGGCGTCACAAAGGGCATCTGAAACGTGTTCGAGTAGGAGTGTAGTGTATCAAAAGAGTCGGGCGAGACGGCGCCCAACATCGAATAAACGCCCCGTGAGAACTGGTTACAAACTGTTTGGGAATAGATATAAAATACATAAAACAAAAAATAATAGTTAAACTTTTTTTTGAAAGTAAAAACTATGCAAAATTAGTTGCTGATGAGATTTTATTTGCTTTTTAACTAGTTTTCGGCAAAATGTTTACAAATTGATGAGAGTTTCGCATGTGCTACATTCCGAGTAAATTAAAACGTTTCAGTGTTAACTGAAACTATTTAAATGCTTCATGAGCAATAACTTTTGAGGTAAATATGCATATACGTAGCTATTTATGAACTGAGCAATAGAGAATCGCGAAAAGGTTGCGAATATAATAAAGTTTTTTACTACAAAAAGTTTTATATAATTTTAAAGCCTTTCAAGACTCAACAATAAATAAATGAATTTAAATTGGGTATATTTTATATTTATATTTATATTTATATTTATATATTTATATATTTATATATTTATATATTTATATATTTATATATTTATATATTTATATATTTATATATTTATATTTATATTTATATTTATATTTATATTTATATTTATATTTATACTTATATTTATATTTATATTTATATTTATATTTATATTTATATTTATATTTATATATGAACATAATTAAAGAATTCGTATTATATGTGAAATATCTTGAGTTTCTAGCATTCATCAGCCTATAAAATTACATTGTATTTAAATACTAAGCTACTCACTCAGTCGTGACAATTTGAATGCGTCCGCTGTATTTATGACATCGACATACGCCTGCAGCTCGAAGCGACGCGAAGAGACATTCAAATTGTGATTGAGCATGGCGTACTTGAACGCGGACTGCACCTCATCCGTGCCCTGTTCAAAGATTGCACCTGTTGCCAAGCAAGCCAAATAAAAGAAAGAACAGTCAAAACATGCTTAGCCTTGCTGCTAGTCAATAGCTACTGTTGAAATTGTCAATTAGGTAGGAGAAAAAGGCACTTTAAACTTTGTAATTGGTTTTGCGCTTGAATTTTATTTGAGCAAAAAACTTGGCAGGCTTCGTTAGCTGCTTGCCTGCTGCTGCTGCTGCTGTTGTTGTTGTTGCCAGCCCTGTCTTGGCCAATTTGGGGAAAATGTTGTGCAAGTTAATAAGCGTTTGTCGTTTCAGTTTACCCAAATGGCCAACAAGGCGAGCTAAAGCTGCAGTTGCCTTTTTGGGCATGCAGCTGCAACAGGCAGCGGGAGGCAGAGCAGTTCTAACGGAACGTGCCCATCAATTACCAATTGGTCTTAAGTTACCCAGCACCAACCACTCAGCCACTTACCTAACGGTATTTTCTCGGTTAACGATGGCTGACCATTGACCGTTGTACATATTAGCCATAAGGCAAAGCAGCGCCAAAGCCAGTTGCTAGATTTGTTGTAAATGCGCATTCTGCTCGTGTTGTTGTTGTTCTTCTTATTGTTGTTGATGTTGCTGCTGTTGTGCTTGTTGTTGTTCTGATTGTTGTTTACTTCGATTATTTGTTGGTTTTGGCTGCCGTTGACGGCATTTTGAGCAGTTTTTTGTTGCACTTAGTTAGGTATTTGCATTACGTTTTTTTTTCACTCTGTTGACAGTTTGCAATTGATCGATGTGGGCTTAGTGCACCATTTTAATGATAATATTGACATTTATATTAATTGTAGTTGCTCTCTATGAATAAAAATAGATGTTAAAAAAATGTATTTAGTTAATTGTTAATATTTATTTTCGACGGAAACAAAGTTAATATTAATTATATGAAACATTATTTATGGATCTAAATATGCATTTATCTGACAAGTAGCTTATGGGCTAATGGTATACAGTGCTGCTCAACTGAATAGGTTCAATTTGTTTAAATCTTAAAACTTTGATGAAAACAACGATTTCAACAGAAATAAATTTTGTTATATAAAAAATCTGTCAGCTATGAATTGTGGAAGTTTCTGGTCTGTAAATTTCAATATTATATCATTTTTATTTATTTTTTGAAGAACATAAATTTATGCGAAATTGTTTGTTTGGATATGTAAAAACTTATCTATATTATCGCAATTATTGTATGCATTCTGTTTCGCTCAAGGAGCTCAGAATTACACAATGCTTCACAGCAGAAAGTTCGAATGGGTTTATATAGCTATAAATAGCATACCTATGTAGCTTAAGCTTTAAGCATTTCCGTGTTCTTTTAGAATTTTAAAATATACATAGAAGCCCTCTCTCCTCCACGTTCTATTGATTTCTCGTTTGGGGCTTATTTTGGATACATTTGCTCCATTTATTGCGCCTTAACTTGATTGCCCGGCTTTGGCATACATTTTAAGCTGCTTAATTTGAATTTATTTTCTATGTGAGCTGTCTACACACACACAGAGCATTTCACGCTGTCACGCTTTACGCAGCACGTGTCTTTGGCACCCTCTGCTAGCCATTGTGGAGACAGCGCTCCATCCATTTGACTCTGCTCAGATGCTCACATTTATGAGAGCCCATTGCCAAAACCCGTCCACCCACTGTCAACCTTGCCCCCGCCTAACTCTCTAGTCAAAGCTATGTCCAACTTTGTTCGCGGCATTGCAGTTGTGTATGTTTAACTCCGTCTCTCTCTCGCTCTCTCTGGCTGTGTGTGGGGTTTGCGTGTTTGCTTAGTGAACTGTATGTAAATATGTACACACATATACCCACACACACACACACACATGCGACTATCTGGCAGCGCTGCTTCAATCCTCTGGCCTATCTGGCAAGCCTCTGTCAATCCTGCCCTCAGGTGTGCTGCCCTTAAAGCTATTCTCATTGTTATTGTTGTTGTTGCACTGATTGTTAGTATGTCAACTCGCAGCCTTATTGTGTATCCTCTGTGTGCACAGTGTGTCCTGTCGTTATCCTTATGGCTGGCTGCCTGTTTTTCTGCTGATTTTGCGCGTACTTTGAATGTCTTTCGCTTTTATTCTTTCAGCTTTTTAATTATTTAAAACGGCAGACCAGCTGCTAGAATCAACTTTTAATATGCACTAAACTCGTTTTTATGCAGAATACGGTCACACTTATTTTACTTTTTCGGCTTCTACTTTAAACATTTAAATTGTATTTTAAGCCGCTTAGCTCGGCCACATTGTCAGAAAAAATGGGTATAGGAAGGGCTTTTAATGAAAGGTCTTTTTTATACGCTGTAAGCACCGAGAATATTGTTTTTTTTTTGGTAACATAAAGTTGTGGCTGTGAAATGTGGGAATTTGCTAATGGCTTTGACCATATAATGTAGATAAATGTTATATATAAATCATATTATATACATTATATAAGCAGATTTAACAGTTGAGTTAATCGTGTGTTTTATGCTGTGTGATAATATTAAGTTGTCGCTTGTTTAAATATAAGCAGACTCTTAGTAAAAAAGAAGTTAATATATGTTCAAACCTTTCATTAATATTGCTCTGAGAGACAGCTGAACAGACGACTTCACTTTTTTAAGTCTTGCCAATTTAAAATGAAAAGAATATATATAAATAATATTGTTTACATATGCATAAATATATAGTATATATAATAGAATAACTAAAATAACAAGTTTATATTTTGAAAATGTCTTTTATTCTTAAATATGTTTTTTATTCAACTTTGTTGTGCTTTTTCCTTATATGAGCAACATCTGCTCGGCTTTGGTCTCATATAAATTTAGTCATAAAATAATCTACTTAACTAACATTATATCTTAGACACGTCTAAGTCTGCTATTACAATTTTTTACGACACATTTCCACAATTTGATGAGGACTTGTGGCTTTTATAGATTTTTGCCAGCTTGAGATGGTAGATATAAGGGGTATATATCTATTTGTATGCCCATTAGAATAGCATAAAACCAACTTGTAATTGAATTCAATAATTAGTCAAATATTTAATAGAAAACTTTTTGCTCGAGCCACAATTTGTTGCCTGTGGAACGAGCAGCAGTGAACGTCCTTTAATGGACCTTTCGGAAAATAGATTAACAGACGCTTTATATTCATAAGTAGAGCCGCAGACTCGTTGACTATTTAAGCACTTGGAACTTTATTCATTATAATGACTGCAAAACTAATGCCGAATGGAAGTCGCAGTTGGAGTTGGAGTTGTTGTTGAGGTTGGGGTTGGAGTTGGGCCACTTAATTAAATTTAAATTAGAGGCCTAAAAGTTGCACGTCACGAACCGACTCTATTTTATAAGGCAAACAAAACAAAATAAAATAAAACAAAAAAAAACTTAGATAAATGAAACGAATGAATGAACATTTAGACTAAAAGAATGCCAAGGATCCTTGACTAGGCTCAACTAGGAGGCTGTGGGTAGGCGAATAGACTGTCTGTTTGCCGTGTGGGTAGCTGCATACTTACTTGCCTTACAGCGTCCACTTTTGTTAATTAAATAATTATTTTGTAACGACTTGCTAATTACTTTTTACTCTTTTGGACTTTAAACTCGACTTCCATTCATTCGCCACTTGCCACATTTAGCAGCTGCTGGCGGCTGGCTGCTGGCAGCTAGGTTATGGCGACCTTTTGTTTCTGACCTCCATCACTTGCACCTACGCTCACGCTCGCTGATAGCCATCAGCTGCTCCTAAATTGCAGGCGCTTTTAAATCTATCTTTAAAGGCAAACAAAAAGGTATTCATATGAAACACGAAAATGTTTTTTTCCACTTCGCCTGATGCCCGAAAAAAGAGAGAAAAACTCTTTGCTCAGGGTGCCTATTTATTTAATTATTGTTGAATGCGTGTGTTTGTCGAAAGTCGTAATTTCGTTTGTTTTAACAGGGAACAGAGGAGCGCAAGGAACTTTTTTAAAAAATTCAATAATATTTATAATACCTAAATATGTCTTTCATTGCATTGAAATTTAAGTTCATTGTTTAACTAATTGATTAAAAAACTATTTTTTTTTTCATATATAAAGTTCGAAACTGTTTTTGATAATACGAAAGCCTTCATTGATTTGGCTAGGTAAATGTTCTTTATGATAATGAATATATAGTTAAAAATATAATTAAAACATTTCTTAATATTTTTTTTAAGTTAACAAATTTGTTCTCACTTTTTGCAACTGTCTTTGATGACATCAAGCGCATTCTGTTAAACAATAAGTGGAGGAGTAATTTGTATGGAATATGTAATGTGAATAAGTTAGCTATAGATCGCACTGATGGCTAGCTCAAGAGAAGGTCTCGCTTATGCTGCTGTCTCTTAGGTTGAGATTTAAACGATTTTGATGGCTTTCTCTACACTGTCAAATATCAGCTGATGTATTTTAAGATTTCTTCGAGAAGTGTTTGGTATGTTAAGATCTCTCTGATTACGAACATATCATTTTTCGCTTACTAGTCTCTGATGAAACTTTTGTGTTTTGGACATTTTTGTTTTGATGTTGTGCTCCAGAAGTGTATGCCGTTGGCTTAAGTTTGTATAGTAACAGTTTGTTTTAGGTGTCAAATTGGGGTTCTGTCTTCTGTTGCATAAGGTTTCCAGGCTTAAAAAATTCCAAGAAATTATAGATATGAGATGAATAGAAAAAAAATTAATAATAATTTAGTTAATGATGTAGGTAATGAGAGGGATAATGATAAAAATAACAAATAATATGTAAATAATATAATATTATTATTTTCATTTAATAAATGCCTCAAATGCAGACCAAGATTTAAATATAAGCTTGTATATATCTTTTTATAATATATAATATAACTCCACAGTATCACAGCCCTAAACAAGTAATGTGTTAAAAATGGCAAATACCCTCTTCACAAGGGTATTAAATATAATGCGATGCCCAAATGTTGGCAATATGCAAAAACCCGCTCATTAGCATTTTAATGAGCTGCTTAAAATGTATGTCGCCTAATTTTGATTTCTATAAAAATGGCAATTCGACTAGATGTATAAATAGGCAAACATGTTTAGCTCGCTTTTAAGCTGAATTTTCATATCTTTCAATGTTTTTCCGCAGAAAATTCTAAATTTAAATTCATGGCAAAGAGAAAATATTCCAAACAATAAGCAAAGATGTAACTTACATATATTGAACAGCAATTTATAAATTTATATTTATTTTTCTACTTGTACTTATTTGCAATAGAAGTTATTATTCGTCAGTCACATGTAACCCACAGTTGTAGCCGGCTTTTTGGCTCGGCTTACGAATTTTTTGGCTTTTTGGCAAATTGACTCTTAAGCGACTTTTACATTTGCATAAGTTGGCCCAAAAAATTATTGCCGCTTCTTTATTATCACGTAATGTTGAGCACTAAAAAACACGCAACGCACAAACATTTTTGTTGTTTTTTTTTTTTATCACTCGCTTTGAGCTGTTGAAAGCAGTTGGATTGAGTGAGGAGATTTGGTGTTTTTTTTGTGTTGTTGTTGTTGGATATTATTTTCGGGTTTCGTTTGCGAGTTATGCTTCGATGTCCGCAGCTATCATCCGCCGTATTCTCGTCCTGTTTGACGCGACGCACGACTGTCTACTGACTGTGTCGGCAGCATCCACGAAGCGAACAGCTCGGCACAGCCTGCCAGCTGGGCGACAAAGCTACAAAATCTCTTCGCAATCCTCTCATTGTACTAAAAAGGGCGAAGCCAGCCAAAGAGAGCCGTAAACTCTC